ATGGAGTTGTTTGGGATCAACTTCCAGGAAATCTGTGTCTTCCCATCACTCCTTCCAGTAAGTAGGTTTCCAGATGAAATAATTTAGTGTATCTTTTCTATTTATTTTTTTTCATTTAATTTTCTTTCTTGCATGGCCTCTTGGCCAGTACTCATACCTTCAGATTGCAGTGAACTGAAGGGGAATTACAGCCTTCCACAAGTTCCTGTTCAGCAGTACGGTTTTTGTTCTAGCAGCAGTTAGTTCAGCTTTAAAGCACCTCCTGAGGGCTTTGGGCTACCTGCGATGAGAGAGAGCTCACCTGGAAGAGACGTAGCCAAAATGAAGCTCCTCACAGCACTGATACAGGATCTGTCTTCAAAAGCCCATACTGCTCTTTGACAGACGTCTTTTGCTGTGAGAAGCGACTGTTGTATACAGTCACAATTACATGGTCAAACAGTCTTCCTAATTACAGTCCTACAAGACCTGTACATATTCATATATTGTGCGTTACCATCACTGACATCACTAGGATTCATCAAAGAGGTAAATTTAAGAAAAATGGACAATATTGTGGGGTTGGAACCTGTCTGTGGAAACTCTAAGATGTCTGATCCAGAATAAATTGCTTCAAGATAATTTGTATGTTTCCATTACTGTAGCAAACTGCTTTTGGTGGCTTCATGAAATACCAGTTTCTTCACAGATCCTTCTCACACTGGTGATCTAAAAGCTGTTATTTCTGATAACATTAAATTTGAAGTATTCACATCTTGCGCTGTTGATATCACTGCACATTACAGGGTGATGATCCGGAGGATACACCCTGGAACTTCACATGCCAAGATGGAGAAAATCAATCTCTGTTAATAAAAAAAGGCAGGCTCAGTGGTGCAGAAAATCACTACTCTGGAGCCTTAAAGAGGCTCCTTCAAAAATTCATGATTATAGAATGGAATCCTGGGCTACATTATAGTACTAAAAGAAATCAGGATATGGAGAAGAAAAATCCAATTTTCATTAGGTGGAGAAAATAAAGATTAAACCCTCTAAGCAGACAAAGTCATTGACCACATGGAACATAATTATATGCTCAATATGTAAGAACATTTTCTAAGTTTCCCAGGTTTCAAAGTTATTTTTTGTTTTCTTGTTGTTTATTCATGCCATTATCACTAAATCCATCTGAATAAAATTTCTGAATGTTCTGGTCAACTGCTTGCCGTGTAGGGTAGCTGTAGGACATTTAACCTATAGTGATATACAGACATTTAACAAACTCAGTGTTGACTTAATGATTAAACTTACTACTCCATAAAGTATCTGGTCGTGTCCCCTGCTGATGGTATCCATGGTGCAATGACAGTATGCAGTAAAAAGCAGAGAGAAAACATCTTTGCCCTCCTTATGGGCACTGTAGCTACAGTCATCCTGAGAAGAGGCTTCTATAATATGACAGAAACTTGAAGACACTAAAAACCTTTCTTAAAATCAGATTTCCCGTTTTCTGTCCATGGGAAGTCTGAATTCCTGCATCAAAATCATTTGGGGCCCAGAATAATTAATATTCAGTCCTGCAGTGTAGGTGAGTGTGACGGCTGATAATTTGGATGGTCATTGGCATGAAATATGGCTTTTGCACAATTAGAGCAGGAAGAATTCCAGCTTCACATTTACAGTATTTTAGCTTTCAGCCTTGACATGCCAGTAATGCAGTACTTGTATGGAAGAGATTGGATTATTTTTGATCTATTCTAGTCAACTGCCTGGAAATACAGTCGCTCTAAGTATATGCTACATGCTTTTTACCATGTTATCATCCACCAAATTATTCTTTTTCAATTATTTTTTCACATATTTAACGCAGCTGCAAATCTATTCATGAAAGAACATTTCAGTAGTTCAGCTGATCAGCTTAAAACCAAGCAGAAGTTCCTGACAGTTCATCTTGCTTACTTAAGCATGGCTGAGTCATGACTACAGTGAATCCAGCACTTTCTTTAACTTTCATTCATTCATTCATTCCTTGTGAGCATGCATGTACGAGGGGCTTGGGTGAGTGCCTTTTATTGTCAAGTAGGTGCCATCATACCTGACTTCTTTGGTAAAATGAGATTGAAATACTATTTCACACAAATACCTATTTTTCATCTGATTTGTCTAACAATATAATCATAACATTGGTCTTCTTGGAACTCATTTGAATTATTTTCATTGCAAAGGTGGACAAAGAGACAGGGAAAAACTGGCCTTAGAATTCAACACTTATTTATGTTTATAAATTTTCAATAGGACTGAAAAATATATGAGCTGGAAAAAATCAGTTTTAATTGGAGCACTCAGCCCTCTCCCAACTTCAACTTGGCCTTCCTCAGTACATTATTAAAGAATTTGATGCACAGATAGCACAATGGCCAATTTTCACTCGCTGCTCTGCACTCTGTTTTGAACTGATGTGCTGATAGAAGTCCTGTCCATACCCAGTTGGGTTGGCACATGGATTTGCCAAGCTCAGAAAAGTACATTTTAATTGTAATACCCCCAGATCAGAAACACATTTGCTAGCATTCCTCATCTAGAGCTTCCCTCTGCAGTTCTCCTCCCCAGCTCTTCTTTTAACAAGTAGGCAAGAAACACGTTGGATTAAGCTAAAGGCAAGTGATGGGAGGGAACAAACTCTTGCAAAAGGTAAGCAGCTGCTTAGTATTCAGGAGCAAACAGAGCACTTCAGCTTCTGCAAACAGCTCATGTGGGATCCGCTTTTATTTGGCAAGGAGGATTGCCTTTCTCACCGCGCAGCACCTTTCTGAAGCAGGAAGGAATTAAGCCAAGGAATTAAACAGATGTCAGTCAAGACAAAGGGGCATGATTCTGTGCCAAGTCAGTCAGGTGAATGAGCTGGTCTGCTTTAATGCTGGAAAAACTGGGGAGGGAATTTGTTGTGGTAACTGAGTACGTTATAGAGAGGTGTCCTTGTTTCCGTGCCCCGCTGTTTGCCATGAGAAACCACCACCATGGCAGTTAGTGCTGAATCACAGGGCGCTCCGGGGAGGGGATTGCTGTCTGTGATGCGTCTGGCTCTACATGGGCCCAACTGCAAACTCACTTCCAGCAGCACAGCACTTTCGCCACAGCTTGTTACCGCAAGCCTCAGAGCCAAAGGAAAAATCAAGGGTGAAGGAGTTTTTTAGTGTCTGTCTTTCTGTCTCCCCACTCTTTCTGTTAGTCTGTTTTAAGGGACTCTGCAGGCTGCTGGCTCCTGCTGCTCATACTGAGGTTAACTTGCTTCCTAAGAGACCCGGAGTAAATGTTGTGGTTCTGTTTGCAATCTGACCCTCTGCCACTGTGTACAAGCAGGCCTTTTGTACCCAAAACAGCTCCAAATTACTGTACATAAACCATAATCTTCCAGTGGGAGCACTGTAGTTTTCCATTTTGCTGCTAATTGGATACACTTGCAATAGTCTTTGTTAACATGGCTAGCACTGGGCAGGGAACAGTGATGGAAGGCTTTTATTTAGAAATCCTGCAAAAATGCAGGGACTGTCCCCATTTGACAGCAATTGAAACTAATTGTCAATTAACTAAATAACAGCCAATTAACTTGAAGGAAGAAAGAAGAAAATTGCTTACTTCACATTCTTTGTTGAAACAAACGCCAGTCAGAGGATTGGAAGGTTGGGTGTTTTTTTTTTTCCTCATATGAGAAAACAAAATGGCAAAAGATGTGCAGAAAATGCACAGTGGTATTTTTTAAAATACCATCTTTTTCTCATACAAGAATATTTGAGAAGCTAGATAAGAACATCCTAAGTTCCTGAGACATTTAATTTCCTTTGATTTTTTTAAAATCAAAATTACAATCATTATGCGAGCACAATTCTTCCTTTCATGCCACTGTAGGATACTTTAAGCACAAGGCAGCTCTGCTGAAGCTGGCTGCCTTCACAAGGAAAGACCAGCAAACAGCTGTCTGTGTGGCACAATGACAGGCAGGATTGTGATATTAATGTTTGCATCACCAGATCAAGCCCTTCCTCTTTCATATTTTATGGACTTTTAGGGTTCTCTAGGTGAGATGTTGTGAGAATTGTAATGTTAAAAAAACCTGAAGAACCCAGAGGTCTTAGGAAGCAGCTGAGTGGTGCTGTCAGGACTGCTGTTTTGGACTTAGATCCCTCTAAGACCCGTGTCTCATGTCTGTATCCTTTTTTGAACGTGGGCAATAGTGCCAAAAGGTATTTCAGTCAAGACCATTGCACAGGGAAAGCCAGCCACACCACTGGCAGGAAGAAAAAGGCTCTCTCCTCCTGGTTTATTGCTCTTTGTTTTAACTATTAGCTCAATACCATCTCCCCAAAAGAAGTAGTGCAATTCAACTTGAAGACTAAAGCTTGATCCTACAGGCTTTCAGCTGTGGTACAGTGCCAGAGCAGAGGCTAACGTCTGCAGTGGGTCTCTGACAGCTGAGCTTTCAGGGGATGATATGCCAGGCAGAGAAAGAGCATAGATTAGGCCAAAGAGGCAGCTGCTATATACAGGCTAACTTAATATCGCTAGTAAGAGACAACTGTTTACTCATGGCATCTTGGCTTTGAATTTTCATTGCACTTTCCTCACAAGCCGTTAAGACTAGCAGTTAATGCACAAAAGCATTATGTGGCCTCACTTCTCGCCTGTGGGGCTGGACCACAGCTGGTCCCTTGGGGTTGACATCAGGGCTGTGTCTGCCTAATATCCATTAGTTGCATCAATCAATAAGTCTTCACTTACACTTTTTACTCATTGTTCAAAAAGATTTTATTACGCTGCTTTGAGCTGCTCCACAGCACCATTTCACGGGTTTCAAATTGTGTTAGTCTTTTGTTAATACTTTTAGGGACCATGTTTCATAATTGGATAGTGGAGGATGAGAGGTATGTCTTCTAACCGTTGGGAAAGCAATGAATATTGGATGCTTTTTCATTAACTGATGTGAGATTCAGCGCTGCACATATTGATCTGTTACTTTCTTACAGGAACATTTTACACCTGAATGCAAGTTCAAAGAATCAGTATTTGAAAACTACTATGTGACGTATTCTTCAATGATCTACAGACAGCAACAGTCTGGCCGGGGTTGGTATTTGGGTCTTAACAAAGAAGGAGAAATAATGAAAGGAAACCACGTGAAGAAAAATAAACCTGCAGCACACTTTCTTCCAAAACCGTTAAAAGGTAATTGCTTGGGTTTGTTCCAATCTATCTGAACTGACATTTTCTTGTGTCAGAGATGTTTAATTGCTGTGCATACATATTTGAAGGGTTCAGCTACTTAAATAAGAGGAGTATAATGTTCTGTAATACACTGTTAATCTAACCAAAGCTGCCTTTTTTAGGTTTCTCTGTGTTAACTCTGCATTTCTCTAATCTAACCAAATATACATACTAGCTTCTTTGGGCCCAAAGTCCACACTGTCTCCATTATAGGTAACAAAGGTTCTGCCTGGAATGGCCCAGGCATCTGCTCACAGGCCATTAGCGACTTGCTGTATAGCTGGTCAGTCTGCGCTTTATGTTACAGGATGTTTGTCTATTTTTGCCTGGGATAAAGCTCTAATGTGCGGTGCTTATCAAACCACAATGAATGTGGCATCAGCATATGACATTAAAGGTAATAATGCATGTGGCATACATATGCCACTGTGTATTAAAAGCCAGGACACAGAATCATCCCAGTTAACTGAAGGATGTGAATCAGGACCGTGGTCAGACTTGCCTCCCTCTTTGGTCAGTGCAAAGAGGAAGATCTCAGTCAATGTATGGAGGTGCTCCTTTTGTCTAGAACTAGCTTTTATATGTTCCTTCCTTAAGAGGAATGAAGCTTTCTACATGTGGGTTATGTTCTTCGGTAGCCTTTTAAGGCAGCGTCATTTTGAAATCAGAGAGGATATTTCAAAGGTGTGTAGCCCTGGGTGGATGCTGGACTAATGTGGCAGTCTACGTTTAGGACTAGGTGTTAGGCAACCGAAGTCGAGGTTGATCCTCACTTCTAATGTGTGTGAAAACAAAGGAAACAGAAGACCAAAAATCCATTTTCACACCCACCTACTTAGGCTACATATATGAGTAACGGGTCAAATCACAGCTGTCAACAGTGCTACTTCACCATTAATAAGGAAATGTTGATTTATATCGGGTTAGGTCTGTCTTGCAGAGTTTTGTAAGTGCAGTGGGTAGATGGGTGATTTATCTGGGAGGGCAAGGGAGCTGTGGTTTTTCCCTTCTCTAAAATGTCATTCCCTTAAGGAGGACCTCAGAGGTTCCTAAGGAGTGTTTGACGTGAAAGAGGTCTCCTTGTCATATTTCTTTCACTCACTCCTTACAATGCGTATCACTGAATGAGAAATCCTGTTTCACAACTGGACTTTGCACCAACAGACTGAGTAGCCCCTAACGTGTGCTGATGTGCTGCCTCTCTTTTGCTTTTCAGTGGCCATGTACAAAGAACCTTCTCTCCACGATCTCACAGAGTTCTCAAGATCTGGAAGTGGGACCCCAACAAAGAGCAGAAGTGTTTCAGGAGTGCTAAATGGGGGTAAATCCATGAGCCAAAACGAGTCAACGTAGCCAGGTTCAGGCAAGCCAAGTGCTTTCTAAACAGAACCTTACCTCTGGATGCAGTTGAATTCTTACTAGCAGTCTTTCATCCAAACGTTCAATTGCCCAGGACAAGCCACCGAACTTGCATAGGTCACTCGTTTATCAGCCATTAGATCTACTGGTTGTCAGAGGATATACCCCAATAATGTAGAATATGCTTGTGCATATCACAAGGCACTTGGATAGCCAGCAAACATAACTGCGGAATAAATCTCGGAGAAGAAATGTCCAGCTCTTTCTCTCTCTCTTTATCTCTCTCTCTTTCTCTCTCTCTCCTATGCTTTGTGGAATACGAAACAAAAACATTTCACAGCATTCACTGCTGATAAGAATTTGCTTTCCAACTCAGAAAAAGACCACTTTTGCTCTTCAAAGGAAATTTTAATGCTTGTATGTTTTATAGGGGCAAACAAAAAAACAAATATGTAAACTCTGTTGTTTCCTTGGCTTACCGTTTTATATCTGAGGCTTGATAAAAAAAAAAATGTATCCTTTAATTTGGAATAGTGCAACTTTTTGATTTCTGAACTCCAATGGGTGTTTAAAGATATGTCTTTGAAAAAATAATTAAAAAATTCAGGGTTGGAACTGAGAGTTGGTGTCTCAGGCTCAAGCAAACAGTGTTATTGTGGTTTTAAACACAATGAAATATAAATTTTTATAGATTTGTAGTTTCTGGTAAAGTTCTTGTGCTAACCCCAGTCTGTAGGAATTGAGTTGTTTTGTTATCCCAAGTGGAAGTTAACAGAAAGGGATAAAATTATCCTCCAGTGTAGATTTCTCTTAATTCCATTTTGTGTGTCATGTTAAACTATTGTTGTGGCTTCTTTTCTAAAGACAGAAACTGTGGAATTAAGGTGACTTAATTTTTTTATAAGAAACGTCTTATTTGTAAAAGTCCTTCTTTCACTGTAACGGGCACGTGAATATTGTGTAGGAGGAAGCGTTAGGACAGGTTACCCCTAAACAACATATACTTATACATGCTATTGGAAACAATTGTTTAAAAAATGTAGTTAGGTTTCCATTTAGGTCATCATGTCTGTTGCATGGGAGAAAGTTGGAATATTGGCCTAGAGTTGCATGATGTGTAAGATTTTGTGCATTAATCATCGTTGGATTCTGTGCTCCAAAACTGACATAGTTCTGTACAGGCAGCTTTCTGCCCTGTACAAAAGAGTTGTTTATTATTTGTTGTATACACAACCATGCACTGAATAAACTATTTATATTAAGATGTACTTTTTAAAAAAGCTTGTTTGATTATCTGATGTACGCCCGTGATTAATTTCAAGGGAAAGGGTTGGCAGTTAAATTATAAAGTTACAAAAGATGCTGTATTTAATGTTCAAGATCCTTCTATGTAATGGGTTATTCCCCTGTAATGCCATACACTATTCAAATGAGAACATGTTCTTTCTTTTGGATATTGTTAGATCTGGTCTTACATACCCAGCTGAGATACTCAAAACATGGTGATGATTAAGTGCCACAAAGTCTTGGTAACGGCCCCTCTGCCACAGGCTGCTGGAGCCCCAGTGAATTGCACTCCTCTGCTTTGAGCTTCTCCAGCTTCTCCATGTCTGCCCTCCCTGTCAGACTTCCCTTAGTGCAGCCATGTAGCGCTACCTCGCAGCACACCTCCCACAGCCCCCGGTACAGAGCGTCCCAAAGAGATCCCGTAAATTGAGCGCTGCATGTGCCAGGGTGGCACCTTGAGGATGCTTGGTGTTTGCTGTGCATCACTGCAGGGACACTTTAGGGGCCAGCTTTATCTGGTCGTGAGGAAAAAGGTTCCATGCCTCCTGCCTTTGTGTATATGCTCTGGAGAGAAAACATCCCTCTCTCCTGCCTTTTCTCTCTGAAAACATCAGTGAGAACTTCTGACATCTACAACATCCAGGCTGCTCTGACAGGTGAGCTTCATTCATCAAGATGTTTCAAGACATCCTAGGAGGAACAAATTTTTCACCATGGGTGGGTGAAGAATCAGTTCTGGAAGGGAATAATGGAAATGGGGGCAGAAAGCTACCTATAAATATTAGCCTGAAATTAAAATCAGGTATTGTGCTGTCTGCCCTGTGTGCCTCCCACTTGACCAAGCTGGAATTAGACCTCAGACCAGGGTGGGACATGGGGTTTTTTAAGGCTGGGGCTGAGAGAGGAGGGAAGGAGATTCTGTTTCAGATCAAATCCCCAAGTTTGTTGTTTTGTGGCAAATGGTAGGCAAAGAGCTCTGGCTTGCTGAGCTCACATACTGGACTAGGGTGTTGCCTTCCCCAAACAGCACTATCTTGCTGTCCTTCAGAGGGCCTGGGGCTCCTCAGCTCATCACTTTCCAAAAGGCGAAGAAGATAGGAGCACGACCAATGCCATAGAAATCCTTAAAATTGAAGATGGGGCCATGATTGCTCCAGAAGTTTTGATAACACAGTGCATCTGGAGCATCTGTTCCTTTCAACTCAGCGTGGTATGCCCTTGTGGGACATTACTCTTAACCTTCTCAACCCCAAACATCAAACCTATTGAGGTACATGTTCCAAAAAAGGAGTTCAAGTGTCTTAGGAACATAAAACCTCATTGAAAAATACGCGTATTTGTAGCAAAGCTAGTTCTGAGCATTTACTGTCCTAAAGATAACTGATTGTCTGCTGCTTTGCTTTATAGCTGCACTCTTACAGTTATTCCCCATCCCCAGTACCTCCAACCCTGAAGGTCATCTGCAGTGAAAGAAAAATGCTCATCTCACAAATTGTCCATTCTGAGGTCTGTAGTCCGACCCATCTTTTGTATTGATGTTGGCATCAGCTGTGAGCGTTCACTGCCAAGTCACTAGTTTCAAAGGTTTCTAATATACCAAGCTAACAAAGGCCACTCTTGGATTGAGATGAGAAGAAAGATATGGTGATAGATGAGCCATAAACAGTTGTTTCTGACAATTATGTTAAATTTCTGACAAACCTGTTCCAACAATAGTTTTTCCTTCAGATTATTGTGGACAGAAAGGGCAATATTCTTGACAGATTCCTGATAGCAGACAAAGCTCGTCTACACTGTGAGCAAAGTGGGGAATTATGCCCAGGGTTTTACATGTAGTCTCTGGAGCCATAGACTGGGATTTATTAAAGAGAAATAGAGTTAAATGTGCCTTTGCGACAGTGAAGGTGATATTCTGATGCAGCCAGCAAAGTGCCTTGGGTAGACAAGAATGTTGCTTCAGCAGAGGACCAGACTAAGGAGCCAGACTCCAGCACCCGTAAATTAGAAAGTTAAACAGATGACTCCTGGATAATACTGTCTTTTAAGAAATTTGCTAGATCTTGGAAAGATGTTATGGTTGCCTATCTAAAGAAAACTTACAGCCACTGGTCAACCTGCTTTGCTCTGCCACATACGCAGTGGCAGAGTACAGCTTTTTGCACAGCTAGCATAAGGACAAAGGCCAGGGGTTGCCATGAAACCAAGCTGTCCGCTGGCTGTGAGCCACTAACCATCTGCAGAAGGCTTGGTCTCAGGCACTTCTGGTATTGCCAATGTGATGGCTGATGCGTTTCAGCTGCCATTTCTCTTGTCCCCGCCTCTCCAGCAATTCTGCCCACAGGCCTGGAGCTGGCTCAGGAGGTGCAAAACCAGCACAGCAGCTTTCTGATGCACCTGGGCTTCACTTGGCAAAGCCCTGAGACACCACAGGAGCCATGCGGAGACCTTATGAAAGGCTGACAAATACTACCTGCCAACACAAAAGAAAACAGGTCACCCATGAAATTGGGAGAAATACTGATAGGAGCACAGTTATTATGAGGCAAAATTGCTGTCTTTTTTGTGATCCACCTGGCAGAGCTGCTTTCTTGGAGGTCCCTGAAAGGGGGCTCAAGCATTGCTCCCTTGGCCTGGTTTTGGGGTGAGGGAGCGTGGAAAGACCTCTTCTCTGTATCACAGAGATCTTTTTTCTTTTCCTTTTTTCTTTTAATTTACCTCATGCTACCTCATAGCATGGTTGTATCTCTGTAGTCACTTGCTCAGCCATGTTCATCGCTGGCACGATGGAAGACAATTCCCTTCTTGGGGAAAATATCTCCCAAGTTACTCCAGGGAAGAATGGTACCCCTTCTGCAGCACCGTCTGGTGTCCCCACCGTTGGTTTCCAGCCCACAGGCCAGATTTTCCAGTGGGATAAAGACGGTGTAATGAGCTCAGGGATGCTGTGGTACGCCAGGCCTCTCCCCAGCTGAGCACCAGCATGAGAGACAGGTCTGTCAGAGCTCTGCTGTGTCTTGAGTATCTCTGCGTGGAATCCAGAGCCAGCTCTAACGAGATTAAATGTCTCCCTGACATATCCGTGACCAGGACACTTTTGCAGGACAGAATCTGTACGTTACAACTTCCTATCTTCTAATAAATAATTCTCTCTAAAACAGACTCCCTCTTGTCTGGGCTCTGATTTTTATCACTGCAGATATTTAAGGGCTCTCCACCCCACCACCAATGCACTACACCATTGCTTAGCTTTCCGTGGGATATAGACTCTTCTGTATTACATTATCCTTTTCCTATGTCTTACTTGAACCAGAGAGGGGAAAGCTGAGTGGTCAAGCCAAGACCATCACAGGTGGATCCTTCAGTTTGCTGCAGCCTCAACATGGTCCATGGAGGGCACAGAAAGTGTGATGTGTTTTACCGGCTCAGGGAATGGCTACTCTAACTATTGAAGTTCAGTTTCCAATGTAGTGAAAGACCAAGACAAAAGCCAACATGTTTTTTCTGACTTTGGCTCTGCAAAAATGACACAAAATAACAATAGAAAGCCTAATTAAAATACATCTATTTCTTAGGAAAATGTCCTGTCATGCAATTTACCCAGATTAGCACCAGCTTTGGGCTTTTTTCAGCTCTTTCTGGGGAAGATGTTCTTGACAACTTAAATGCCCAATTCAAGGGTTAAATTTTGAAGAACTTCTCTTCCCTGGCATGAGTGAGCAGAGCTGTGGGATCCTGCCCTTTCCTGGCTGCCTGGCATTGACCTTCCTGCCTTTTGGAGAGCTGGGTCCTGAAACAAGCTGGGTTTGCTGGTGCGTAATGGCTTTTATTGCTGATCAGCTCCAGTAGCAGAGCTTACTCTGCTTTGGGAACATGCCACCCCAGTCTGGGGGGCCCTCAATCACCCTGCCCTTCTGCAGCTTCTCTCACGAGGAAGTTTAAAAATTAAAGAAAAACCCAAATTTGAAACATGTTTTACATTAATCAGAGAAATTGAAGTAATAAATTATTCCATCTCATCAGGAACTGGAAGACCGTTTATAGGGTTCCCTTCAAAGATAATTATTAATGATTTGGAGGTTAAGATTCTTAAATACCACATATAGAATATTACTTTCGAGCACCTGTAGGCCTAATTTTTTCCCCACATAAGTTTGGCATTTCTCACCTAAATTCAACAGCTGGAGGGGAAGGATGAATGATTTAATCTCCCATGGGTTTCTCAGCATCGCACATTGTCTGTCACACTCCTTTTCTGAGCTTGTCCGCTTGTCGAGGACAGGGTCACAGGTGCACCCTCCACCAAGGGCCATCACATTTGTATATGGAGGAAGAGTTGTCCCTGTCCTGGCATTTGTAGTGCACAGAGCTGGTTGATTTGCTGAGATGCTGATTAGGGCTGATCTGAGCTATCGATGGCATATTTTGGGGGACACAGAGCAGACTGGCAGTTCTTTTACACTCTGTCTTTGCTCCCGCACGGAGACATCTCAGCTAAGAACTCCCAGGGAAGCCTGGGGTGAATATGGGGAGCTTTCCAATGGAAAGAACTGCTCAGGCATTGATGACAAAAATGTCACTTGCTGTGGCTGAACAGCCATGGCAGCAGCAGTGCTGGGAGGACCATGGCTGGCGCCTGTTAAAATTAATTCATTAGTGGATAGCCTGCAAAGCTCTGAAAAGTAATTTGTCATGATTCGCCACCCACACCTTAAAGAAAACTAAGGCACAGACTAAAGCCCTATTCAGCTGGCGTGAGCAGATCATTCTTTTCCTCTTCCTTTGCGTATTGATTTAATTCAGTTATTGGACCCAGTTATACAAAGCAGGGCCCTGCACTTGGAGTGGGGACACAGACTCTATTGTCCAAACCTGTGCAGCACGGAAGTTTTGTATAGATAAGAACTCAGAGCTCTCTTAGTGTTTTCAAACAATACTATATATATTTTGAAGAAAACAACAGTGAGGTTTTCCCAAAGTCAGGGAGCCAGAGTCA